CAGTTTCATGCTGTAGCAATTTGTGAGCTGTAGGACAATACCCTTCTTAAGGACACCACACTAATCACAGGGTCTGTGAAATTCTCATTACACAGCTCCCAGAGCAGGGGAAAAGGGAGTAATCTCTGCTAACTTTCAAATTCAGGGCTCAGCTCTGGCAGTCGTGTTTCCAACAGGCGAGCCCTCAATTTTCTCCATATGAAAATTTCAGTCATGTGAATAAAGTTTCGAAGCTTTGTTGTCACTATATTTTGCATTTAGCGCTTAGCCAATGCTTGTCGCATCTGTATTAAATAAAATAGTCCTGGAACTTTTAATTAACATGTCTGGTCAACAAGCTGAATCCTGGCTGTTCCCTTTTAATCCCAGCTGGCAAACCTTTTGCTGAAAAGGAACCAGCTGAAAACAGGCTTAAGGAGGAAAGCTGCTGCCTTTTCTCCCCCACGTGATTTCAGCGCTGATTTGGACTATCAGCATTTCCACATCTGAAATGCCACTTTCCTTCCCAGCACTGCCCTGGACCCAATCCTTTCCCTTCCCCTGCTGTGTTGCACTGGCCCTTCCCAGGGCTGTGGTACCCAGCCCTGCCCTCCTCTTTCTCCCCATCTGTTGCCCACCCCTCCTCTCTTGTCCTGCCCCAGGTCCTGCTCTCACGCCCAGCACCTCCGTGGGTCTTGCCCAGCTCCTCTTTGCCCTGCTCCAGCCATGCCAAGCACCCAGGGCTCTCCTGCCAGGCTTTCTCCAGGCTTCCCTGCCCGCTCTGCCCCAGCTGCCCCTGCCCTGCCCTGGTTTGTCTCCTCCAAGCCCTCCAGCTCACAGGGTTTCCCTCTGCTCTCTGCCCACCATGCTCTCATTACCATCTGCCTCCTGCCTTACTAGTGGTATTTCTCCAGTTTAATTGAGTCCCTTGATTCCAGCTTTTCTCTTTTTTTTTTTTTTTTTTTATTTTTTTACTTCTGGTTTTGATTTTCTCCAGCCTGACTGTGAGACACCTTCTGCATTGCATTTATTTCTCTCGTTTCTTTTCAACAGTCCTTTTTATTTTCTCATGCTGTCCTTGACCACAGGCAAGAACTCACCAACGACCTCTGCAGACACACCAAACTGTTTCTTTCAGAAGTTGCTCTATAACCCTATTTAGCTATTCTTCTCCCAAAATACCAGCAGCAAATATGCCAGCTGTGTCCTGGGGATGCTGCCTGTCACAAAGGGCAGCACGTAGTCCCTGTACTCCTTTCTTGCCTCTAGGGATCTGATCTTGTGCTCACACTGAGTGGCTCCTGGCTTGGATGGTTCTCCTGTGGTTCTGCAGCATTTTGCACTAAGACATTAAGGCATGATCATTAAAAAATTTAATGATGATGATGATGATGATGATGATGATATCCTCACCTGCATTACAGGTGATTTGCAGTTGTCTGCCTTCTGCTGGAGCTCCCACTGGGCATTGGGCTGGGATTCCTGAAGGGGGGAATCTCATGGACACCTGTGTCACCACCTCTCTCACCCCCCTGAGCAGCCACAAGTAAATCCATCAGGAATGAATTGCCACTGTGGTATACACAGTGACTTAAAATTGATTTAACAAGGAAATTCCTCCCCAAAATGTCTCCACAGAACAGGAGTAGTAACTCTCAAAGGGCGTCATCAGTTGTATTAAACCCAAAGTTGTTTGCAAGACATTCAGGACTTAGAATGGCAGAGATGTGAAGTGTGCATTTCACAATATTCCTGCTTTATCAGATAACTGAATCTTAGCTGAATATCACAAATATCTTTCAGGTAGCCAAGTTATACTCTGTGCCTCGAAGAGCAAATGATGAGATCAGCAAAAATGAGTAAAATCACAGAGAAGAGACTGGTTCAGTTCTGCTTCTCAAACCATCCTCAGGAGGAGACACAGAGGGGCATTCTTAGTGAAACTGGGTTTTTTCCCCCAGAAATTATTGCAGCACTTCTTCAACAGCTTTACTAAATCGTTTTGTATTTGATACATTACCTTGATATGAAAATGCAGATAGTGATTTAGTGACATAAACATATAAAAAATAGAGCACATATATACAAAACCAGACATAAAAACTGTAGTACAATGTTGATAACTTTTCCTCCATTACTTTAGTCAGTTTTTATTACCTTTACATTAACAGTACTTTTTCTGAAGTGCTTTTTAGGATAGAGGCCTAAATTTTCTGAATGATTTCTAAACTAGATTTTCTAGATTTTGTTCCTGTCACCCAGAGGATTGACAACTCACTGCCCTGCTCCCCACATTCCCAGGGACACTTCTGGGTATGGGACTCAGCAATTCCACTGTTGTGGAACACAGCTCTATGCATTTCCCTGCTTATGGCACCTTTGAACACCTGGCACTGGACTAGTTCCCAGAGGAAATTTCAGGTTAAATGTAGGCTAATTGGGTCAAATTATCTCTGCTGACACAGGACCACAACTTTCCCCTGTAGTTCTACAGCGAGGTCCTCGGAGCCCATCCTGGCAACACTTGGGAATGTGTTTTTATAAATGAATGCCCTGGAATTAAAATACAATAAAATGAAGATTAGGATATAAAATAAGGTAAAACAGTGTGCTTATCTGTATGTTCTCTTCCTCAGAGCCCTATGGAATAAATTACATCCACGGATTCCTTTACATCTGTTTGCACATATAAATTGATCGTGTTCATACATATGAATTTGGCCTAGAATTCCTTTTTTTTAAAGCACAAAAAGCCCTTCTTTGATGTTGATAATGAAGAATTTTAAAAAATAATCCCATATAGATACACAGATACATTTGGATGTATTAGATAGTATATATATTCATATATATGTTGTAGATGTTTAAAGCAAGAAAAAGGTTGTGCTTGTATGAGGATGATCAGTGATAAGTGATAAAGATAGTATCATGGAGAGCATTAAATAATACTTGAACAATAAAGGACAAGCTGATGGTTACACAAACAGCATTCACTGTAGTGACCAGGAATATTACACTCCTTTTAGTTCCTATAGATTGCTGTGCAATGACATATTCAACATTTTCAGCTGAGGAAAAGTGCCTGCGTGTCTAGGAGAAAATGATGTAGTCAAAGAAAACCCTCTCTTTCTTTCTTCCTCTATAAATAAAATTTACCTCCTGTCATTTATTTCTTTCTGTGTGTCTCAGGTGACCCGGTGGAACACATGATGTGTGATCATTCGTGACTCGTGCAAAAGCTTTATTAAAGCACAAATTACGTCAGCTGGGACAAAAGCCTGCAACTTTATCTTGGCAGGGATGGGCCCTTGCTGTAGGCTTTCACCGTGATGTACGACGTGCTTGTTCTGGAAAGCTGCAGCTCCTCGCTGAGTGTGAGATGTCTGCACGCTCCCCTGAGTGGCAGCGTGCTGGTTCGGCTGCCTTGCCCTTTGCTGCGCGGAATTCCGTGGAATTCCACGCAGGAGCTGATGCAGTGGCTCAGCCCCGGCTGGGAGGAGGCACCAGAGGGGCACCAGTCCTGTCACACCTGCCAGGTGCTGCCCAAGCCCTGCCCAGAGCCTGGGCTTCCCCGGCCTTGATGTGCTGGGCTCACATTTCACTGTGAGAAGGCACAAGGCAAAGGAACTTCCAGCAGGGTTTGTGCATCTGCTTGTGTTTTTCTAACACAAAATTGTCTGTCGGCAAGATGAGAGCCTTACAACCCTGCACGGGCCCGTGGTTCCTGCAAATAATGCACAGAACCACAGGTGCTGACACAAATCACACGGGAAATATTTTCTAACTCATTCTGCGCATTATACGGCAATACTGAATATTGTTAACTTCCACATTTTTATTCCTTTTTCTTTTTTACTCACGAGACGCAGCAAAGCGAAAGGGAGCGAGAGCTACATATGCAAAATACGTTTTCAAATGAAAGACTTCCAAGGCTTTTCCTGAAAGAGCCCTAAGAGGAAGTTGAAGTCGCTAAATTTCCATACTGGTGTGTTTCATGTAAAACAATTCTGGACGCCAGCTCGCTGGCCGGAGTTTACTGGCCGTAACGAAGGTGTGCAGGTGCCGGGGCGCAGGAACGAGCCCCGGCTGCCACCCTCGGCCCCGGGCACTCCGGAGCTGTTCCTTTCGGCGCTGCAGCCGGCGCTCGGGATCTGTCAATGGTCCCGTTTGCGGCAGGCGAGCCCCGGCAGAGCCCCCGCAGCCCGAGCCGGGGCTCTCTCTGCGCCCACCGGGACATTGCGGGGCTGGGGTCACACCTGGGACTCTCCCCCGCGCCTTTATCGGCCTGAATTTCGGGTTTAAAGTGACAGGTTTCTGGTGTTTCTCTTGGGTTTCCCTGCTGCCTTTTGCTCTAATTCTTTCGCCACAGCTCGAGAGCGAAGTTACCCGGCTCCGGCGGCCGCGCTCGCCCGGCCCTGCCGCTTTCCAAGATTTTCGCTCGAAGAACGGGAAAAGGCGGAAACTATCGAGAAACCACGGGGCAGTCCCAAATCACCCCGCGACTCCCGGCCCCGGCCCGGGCAGCGCTGCGGGGCCCGCGGGGAGCCCCGCTCCGCATCCCGGAGGACGGGGGGATGGAGAGGGATGGGAGGACGGGGGGATGGAGAGGGATGGGAGGATGGGGGGATGGAGAGGGATGGGAGGATGGGGGGATGGAGGGATGGGGGATGGAGAGGGATGGAGGGATGGGGGATGGAGAGCGGAGGGATGCGGGGATGGGGGGAAGGGTGGAGGGGGGGCAGGGCCCCGGGCGCTGCGGCGGCGGCGACTTTGCTCTTTAAATCGCTCTCCAAAGCGGATTTACGGCTGATCCCCCACGTCAGCGCCCGGGGGGCCGCTCGCCGCCGGCGGTGCCGGTGCCTGGGGCGGCGGGAGGCGGCGCGGGGCGGGGCGGGGCGGGGGCCGGGGGACACTCGGGCGGGGCGCGGGGCCGGGGCCGCCCCGTCGGTGCGTGCCGGAGCCCATGAATTGCTCCGTGAGCGCCCGGCGAGGCTGCGCCGCGGCCGCGGGCTCCGGGCACGATGCAGAAGAGCGTGCGGTACAACGAGGGGCACGCCCTGTACCTGGCGCTGCTGGCCCGCAAGGAGGGCACCAAGCGCGGCTACCTCAGCAAGAAGACGGCGGAGACCAACCGCTGGCACGAGAAGTGGTTCGCCCTCTACCAAAACGTGCTCTTCTACTTCGAGGGCGAGCAGAGCGCCCGGCCCGCCGGCATGTACATGCTGGAGGGCTGCAACTGCGAGCGGGTGCCCGCTCCCAAGGGATGCGCCGCGGGCAGCGCCAAGGATGCCGCGCTGGACAAGCAGGTACCGCCCCAGCCGCGGGTGGAGGGCAGGCGGGGAGGGACAGCCGGGCCCTCGGGCCGCCCCCTCGCAGCCCCGGCGGTGCCGCCCCCGGCCCGGCCCCGCCAGCGGCGGCTCCTGCGGCTCCCGGAGCCAAGTGCGGAGCCGGCGGCTCTGGGGTCCTCGCTGGTGGCTCCTCGTTCCTCCTTGAGCCTTGTGTTTCCACCCCCTGTGACAGCCGCCGGATTTCGGTGCGCTGCCCTGAGAGGGGCGTTTCACAAGGCAGGTGTTGAGTGGTCTGGGTGCCAGCACTTGAGCCGTGTGAAGAAATGCAGCTGTGCTTTGCTCAGCAAGCTCGGCACAGCCGCGCTGCCCAGAGTCCCAGAGCAGCACGGGGCGCTGTGAGGGGCCGCTGAGCCCTTCCTTCCCTGTGGGGCTGCCCCGCTCGCAGCGGTGCTCTGGGGGCACCCAGCCGGGCCCGTGCCCTGGTGGCAGCCGGTGGCGTCCCAAGGGGTCCCGGCCAGGCAGGTGTGGCAGCCCGGCCGAGCCGCGGTGGCACCCATGGCACAGAGCCCGAGCCGGGTCCGGCCCGGCTGCCGCGGGGCTCCGGGGGCATTCCTTGCCCGGGGGGCGACCGTGACCTGCCCAATTCCCGCCCAGTTCCTGCCCAATTCCTGCCCTGGCGGCCCAGCTGATCCTGCCCAAAGCTGATCTGTGTGACATGCGTGTGTCAGAGCAGCAGTGGTTAAACACTCGCGTGTATTACATAACCGGGAAGGAAAGGACGCTCTGCTTGCTCGGCGTGGATAGAGAGCGGGTGTCTTACCCACACACCTCCTGTTGCCTCATCTGAATTCTTGATCTCGTTTGAAATGTGCTGGAAGCTGGTCCTGGCGTGCCCTGGTGCCTTTCCCCCCGCACGGGAGCGGCCCGGCGGGGTTGGGGAAGTTTGGGTGGCTCCAGGAGCTGTTTCGGGCTGGCTGCAGGGGTTTCCTCACGCTTGTGAGAAAGTGACACAGAGCACAGCCGAGTCCTGAACCCCAGCACACCTCTGAGCTGTCCTGGAGTGGTAACCCTGCAAGGAGAGCTCAGAGCCTCGGCTTGTATCTATGCTTTTTGTCCCACCTGTAAATGATCCCGGTGTGCTCAGGCAGCCTCCGGGTGCCTCGTGGTCAAGCGAGCAAAGTTAGGGCAGCTGGGGTGGTTGCACTTGTGTCATGTTCACCCTCCAGTTCCTGCTTTGAGGCATGCTTTCCTGGCGTTGTAAATGCAGTGCTGGAGGATCCCAGGTGATATTAAACATGGATGTTGCCCTGCCTTCTTCACACTGGCTTACTACGGTTCTTTATTGGCGGTGTGGTTAAGTTACAGCTTGACTTAGAGAACTGCCTGAAAACAAATCCCTTCCATGTCTGTTCTCCAGGAGCCTTAAGTTGTGCTTTATAGTGATGAATGAGTTGTTCATAATTACATCTAGTAATAATTACAGGGCAGGAAGCTGAGCTTTTATTGCTTCAGACATCAACTATGTTGGTGCTTTCAAGAATAGCAGACTGCTATTAAAGAGGCAGAAGAATGCCTCAGTTTTATTTTTTTTTATGGGATGCTGTTTGAATTTTCAAGACAGATCATCAGGAAATACCCTTTTCTGTTCACCTTTTGCTTGATCCCAAGCTTTATTCAAAGCCTTTGAGTGTTAGTAGCTTTTACAGATGTTTAATCATTGAAGTGCACTCTTGTTTGTAAACACACATACAAACACAAATCTTTGCTAAGGTGTACAGGAAATTCCCTCAGTGGCCAAAACTGATCCACTGCAAGAAAAAAAAAGAATAAAAAGATCTGAAAATTAAGAAGTCTCTTTTATTCAGAAAATGTGCTCACATTCTTAAAGGTGTAAAGCAATAAGCCACAAACCTTCAGTTTATTAACAGAGGCAGGCAAACTTTAATCAGATGATAATGAAAAGTCGATATTGCACATGCTAACCCCTGGCAGTGAAAAAATACTGCATAGACTTAATTTGCTTTGATTTCACCACACAAATGTATTAATGGAATGAAAAAAAAAAAAAAGAAAAAAAGAGGGAAGCTCTATGGCAGTTTTTTTTTTTTTTTTAAGAATCAGCTCGCTCCAAAGAAGGGACAAAAGACAGAAGTTATCTGCTTTAGTTTGGGTTTTATTTACCTGAGTAAATTAGAGTGATATGAAAGATATTAGAGTGATATGTGCTATAAAGTTACACAAATGAGGGAGAGAAAGAGGAATTAATCACGCGAGAGAGCTTCATCAGCATACCTTGAGTGGATATGTGAAAAAGCAATGCATTTTGTCCAAGTTACATAATAAAGATGACGGAAAATGCTTGTAGGACAGATAGATTTTGCTTTCCTTATCTTGCAGATCCTTTCAGTGCTGGTTTCCAGGTGTTTGGGTGCTGACTGTGCCAGCTGAAACTCTGTAAAGTGCCAGAGCTGAGGGGTGGGATGAGGGCTGGGCTGTCCTGCACAGGACACAGAATTTTGGCCACCAGATGTGTCCAGGTGTGGTGTCCATGCCCCAGCCAGCCCAGGTGCTGGACAGTGACACATTCCACCCTGCTGGGATGTTAAGGTGTGACAGGAACCACCACTCTGAGGAAGGTCCAAATGCCTTCATAAGATTTGCTCTGATCTGGCATCATTAAGGGCCTGAGAAATAATTGCCGTGGCAGAATGTGCTTATTTTGCCTTTAACATATTAGTATGTTTGGCTTTTTTTCCTTCACAGGGGTATTTGCTTCAAAGGAAAATCTGTTAAAAGTACAGACCCTGTCTTGATAGTGACTGCATAAAGAGTGAATCAACTGATATTCTGAAAATGTGTGATCAAATTGAGCACGCTGCATATACTGAATGATCTGCAGAGGGAATTCTTGTTTTTAAAGAAAAGTGTTTTGATCTCCCTCAGATTTTAGAAGTTTCTGTGAACACCAAACAGGTGTAGCTGTACACTCTGATTTCACGTTTCAGGCAGAAAAAAAAAGACATAGATTTATTGGAGGAACAACAATGTGGAAGAGGCTGAGTTTCAAATCAGCAAATTAGGACATGTAAATACCACATGCAGATAGGTTCTGATTTTAGTTAAACTGCTTCTTCCCAGGGGAACTGAGGGCTGTAAACAAGTGCAGCTCCCAACAAGTCCTTCACTGTGGCACTGGGAGTCTTGCTGAGAACACATTTCTGCTTTTCTTTCAAAAACTCTGGGAGGAGAGTGGCTGGCTCTGTCTCAGCGAGGGGTTAGACTCTTTCAAAAATAAAGCAAAATGCCCCAAATTATGCTTTTTGCAGAGCCTCACAGAAGGCTGGCACTTGTTATCCAGCCAAGTTCACAGATACTTTTTGAAACACTACTGGAAACAAGTGATTCGAGGAATGTAAATATTAACATTATTATTATTGTCCACACTGGGAGGAGGCCTGTGTTTTTAGTTTCTTTCGTAAGTGTGCATTGAATACATGGAAATGTTCTGATACTGTTATTAATAACTGCCTCGGAGTATTTAGGGTTGTAAATGTTGCATGATTGGAGCAGAGATATTCTTTGTGTCTTGCCTGCAATAATCTTCCTCCCACTTAGCAAAATTAAATGCAGTATTAGGTCCATGTCCCCACAGATTAACAGAATCCAATCATTTGAATTTTTTTTTTCTGCCTGCTGCAGCTCTGGTTTTGTAGAGGACACAGTGGTTTTGTGCATCCCCTCTGTTTTACACTCATTGCTTGGCACATGCCACCAACAGCTTTGCTGTACCTTCAGCTACTTTAATGTCTAACCAGCCAACAGCACTTAAAGGGCATTTTTTAATGAAGATGAAATTAATTAAAAGTTGTTCAAAAATTTTTTTGGGGCAACCCCCCTGAGCTGCTCAGCATCCTGTGCATGTTTAATGCTGTAGATGGGTGAGGAGTGTTGGGGTTTTTTTGGCACCTTCAGGATTTGTATTGCCCATAAAACTTACTGCTTGCATGTGGGCAGGGAACTCCCTGTGGTGTTCCAGTGAAAGGTAGGCCAGAGACCACCAAGCTTTAAAAATTTCAGCAGAAATTAATCAATAATAGATGAGGTTTTCTTCTCATCTTCTGACAAGAAATAAAAAGATGAGTTGTGCTTTGGTTTTCTCCAAACTTTTTGATTTTTTTTTAAAATGGATTACCTTCAACAGAAAGAGTGAATTAGAAAAGATGGCTACCAGTGCTCTTGGGGTTAATGTTTCTGTGAGGGCTTCTCATGGCAGAGTCTTTAAATGGTTCTTGTGTGGAGACACCTTTGGGGCAACCTGCTCTTGGTCACTTTCCAGGCTGTCCCTGTCCTCCAGTCACTGCTGGGGACATCAGAGGTCGTGGGCACATTCCCAGATATTTGAGACTCTTGTGGTCTGTGCTTGAGGGGCAGCAGAGCACGAGCCACTGGCACTGAGCTCCCAAGGCGCTGCCTATTTCTGCTTGGGAAGAAATAAAAAGTGAATTTTCAGTGTCCCCTGTGACCCAAGGCAACAGGTGGGTCTGGTGGTGTTCACAGGGGTCCCAGGGTGAGGGAAGAGATGAGGATCTGACTCCATGTTTCAGAAGGCTGATTTATTATTTTATGATACATATTACAATAAAACTATACTAAAAGAATAGAAGAAAAGGTTTCATCTCAGAATGCTAGCTAAGAACAGAATCAGAAGGAATGATAACAAAGGTTTGTGGCTCAGACAGAGAGTCTGAGCCAGCTGACTGTGATTGGCCATTAATTAGAAACAACCACATGAGCCCAATCCCAGATGCACCTGTTGCATTCCACAGCAGCAGATAACCATTGGTTACATTTTGTTCCTGAGGCCTCTCAGCTTCTCAGGAGGAAAAATCCTAAGGAAAGGATTTTATAAAGATGTCTGCGACAGGTGAGAAATAAATACAAAAATTAATGAAACCCCCAAACCAACCAACCAACAAATGGAAAAGAACCCAACCCAAACCAGCAACCAAACAAACAAG